GTTAATTTGGGGGGGTTAATTAAGGGTTAGGGATCATTAATTAGGGGGGGTTGCAGTGTCACCTCACCCGAGCCCAAATAATGACCCAGACTGGGGGAGTTTGGGCCTTTTCCCCCCAAATAATTGCTTTTAATTTTGATGGGGAAAGGGGGCGGTTAATTGGGGGGGGTGTTAATTAAGGGGGGGGGGTCATTAATTAGGGGGGGGTCGTTTTTTAACACCTCCCCCCCCCAGTCAAGCAGGATTCCAACCACACCATCGGGGTGGAATTCGGCTCCAAGGTGGTGAATGTGGGCGGGCGCACCGTCAAGCTGCAGATCTGGGACACGGCCGGGCAGGAGCGCTTCAGGTGGGGGGGGCAGCCCTAAATGGGGCCAAAAACGGCAGATTTGGGCAACTCGGGGTCGTTGGGGGCGGGGTCTGATGGGTTTGGAGTCACTGGGGTCCAAAAATTGGGAGAAATTGGGTGAAATTTGGGTCAAAAGTGGGTGAAATTTGGGTCCAAGTCGGTGAGAATCCACAGCCGGGCAGGAGCGCTTCAGGTGGGGGGGGGCGGCCCAAAATGGGGCCAAAAGTGGCAGATTTGGGTTGTTGGGTGTGGGGTCTGATGGGTTTGGGGCCACTGGGGTCCAAAAATTGGGAGAAATTGGGTGAAATTTGGGTCCAAATAGGGTGAGATCCACAAGCAGGCAGCAGGGCTTCAGGTGGGGGGGGTGGCCCAAAATGGGGCCAAAACCGGCAGATTTGGGCAATTCGGGGTCGTTGGGGGCAGGGTCTGATGGGTTTGGGGCCATTTGGGTCCAAATAGGGTGAAATTTGGGTCCAAATTGGGTGAGAACTCATTGAAAACAGGGCTGTTCTGGTCAATGCGCGTTGGCTGTTTTGGGTTCCTTCCATCCGTCCCCAAAAATGGGGCAAAAAACCCCCATTTTGGTCAATCCATTCCCATCAGAATGGCCCATTTTTGGGGTGCTTTGCCTCAGTTTTGCCCTAAATTGGGCAGAACTTTGGCGTTTTGCTCAGCGCGTTGCTTTGGGATCTCCCAGCTTTGGGTTCCTTCCGTCCGTCCCCAAAATGAGGCAAAATGGGGCCGTTTTGTTCAACCCAGAAGCCACCAGAATGCCCCATTTTTCGTGCCCCC